TTCTCCACCTTTCAAAGAAAGGGGATTATTACAATGGGTTAAACTATCTATCCATCACAGTAACTCAATAAGCTAGAATGTTCAAACTTGATGTAGTTTGACTGATTCACTGAGTTGGGATGTCCCCAGTCTTTTGGGCTGTCAACTTATTACCCTGTTGTGCTGAAGACAACCCCGCAGATCTAAGCACAGCTCACATTCTCTCTTATCCTGGACAGTTTATTTGATGTCTTACTTTTAGAGGGTTGGGTGGGGTGAGGTAAATGAATCAATTCCCTTGAGGATCAGCCCTACTATTACCACTGTGAAACTCATACTAACCGACCACTTTTACTTATGAATATTTTTGCCATTAAATTATACAGTCATCATTACTCTAATTAATGTTTAGTATGTATAGAAAGAGCAATCTAATTAAAATATAGATCTATATTTCGTTTCGTTTTTTATACTTTCGATGGCCTACACTACATGTAGATCTAACAAGTTATAGTGGGAGTTCACGTTCTATGACGTCAGGTACCAAGCACACAGACTCCGTGCCAAGCAAGCGACATTTGACCCGATTACGTCAGTCATTCGATTAACCAATTAGCGACCGCCATGTACTTTTTATCTACTTTTGCTTTGTTTTGATTTCTATTGCCGCTAATGTCTACTCACAGTTCTGCGCAAAAAAGGTCAAACCCTCGATTCAACAGACCAGTTGATTGGCTAACCCCTCATTTCAAGCAGAACACGAGTTAAATTACAACGCTTCCAGATCCAAGTGTAGTAAAGACACGTAAAATCGAAATTTTGAACTATAAAAACGAAACGAAATTGGATCTGTATTTTAATCAGATTGTAGAAAAAGGTTAGAAATTATACAGAAGTCATTTATCAGAAAGTGTGCAATTAGCTGTAAATATTTCTAATAAACATCACTACTGAATACAGAAACTAAACCAACAGTGGTGTATATTACTTATTGTGACTAGCTGTAACTATTTCTAAGACACATCACTACTGAATACACAAACCAAACCAAGAGTAGTGTATATTACTTATTGTAACTAGCTGTAACTATTTCTAATACACATCACTACTGAATACACAAACCAAACCAACAGTGGTGTATATTACTTATTGTGACTAGCTGTAACTATTTCTAATACACATCACTACTGAATACACAAACCAACAGTGGTGTATATTACTTATTGTGACTAGCTGTAACTATTTCTAATACACAACTGAATAGCAAACCAAACCAACAATGGTTTATATTAATCATGGTGTTAAAACACCTCAGTGACATAACCCCTACTTGATTTAACATCTGTAGAGATTGATATTTTATAGCCATCAATTCAATAGAAATAGATATGCTATTTTATTAAATCTTTGTTGATTTATAAAATAGTCATAATCATTATTCCACGGAGAATTTCTACTGACCGCTGATTATGATTATTTTATTGATTTCTAATGTTTAAAGACGTAGCCAAGCTCAAGTAATTCTAATGACCTCCCAAGGTGAAAGTTGGCATTCAAAGGACAGGTGATACCCCACACGCTTCTGTTAGTTCATTCATCTGATTGTCTGATGTCATTGGCCTTGTAGTTTATTTCACAAAGTAGAACATGCTAGATCAATTGATTAAAATACAAACTACTTCAGTTCTTTACATACTGTATAAAAAAAGTTTGTACTTTGTATTATAAGAACACTGAAGAGAGAAAAAAAAGGAACAGATTTAATTGTGTGGTTGTGGTATACTTTGCATGTTAAAGGAACAGTTTCTGATTTCACAGGGGTACCCATAGATGAAAGTAAAATGATAAAGTGTGGGGGAATAATCCAAATAACTTGTCCCAAAGTTTCAGCTCAAAATTGGGGGGTTTTGGAAGTGATGGCTAGATTTGCTAGGAATTTTGTTATTTGATTGTATGAGTAGCTTGATAAGGCAAGTAACTACACATCCAGGGCTTGGGGAATTGGGGGCTTATCACCAATCACATAGAAACTGAAAGTATGTATTTCTGCAAAAAGGTACCACATAGCTTACAGGTTTCAGGTTTCTATCACAGTTGTCAATTAGGATATAGGTTTCTATGAAAGTTGTCAAATTAGGATACATGTATCTATGACAGTTGTCAATTGGGATACATGTTTTTATACCACAAATTGAAATGTGGTCGTATATTGTCGTCGCCCGTCTGTCCGTCCGTCTGTCGGTCCGGCGGTCCAGTGTCCACAATTGCTTGTGGACGCTCTAGGGCTAAAGTTAATATCCGATTGACATTAAATTTATACACAGTGTTTAAGGTCTTGAGACAAAGAAGCCTATTGATTTTCAGTGATTTCCGATAATTACTGCCAGAGTTATGGCCCTTGATCACTTTGGAAAATCTTGTGGATGCTTTAGAGGCCAAAGTTAATATCCAATTGACCTTAAATTTATACACAGTGTTTGAGGTCATGAGACGAAGAAGCCTATTGATTTTCAACGATTTCCGATAATTACTGCCAGAGTTATGGCCCTTTGTCACTTCAAAAAATCGTGTGGACGCTCTAAAGGCCAAAGTTAATATCCGATTGACTTTAAATTTATACACAGTGTTTAAGGTCATGAGACGAAGAAGCCTATTTCCGATAATTACTGCCAGAGTTATGGCCCCTGATCACTTCAAAATATCTTGTGGACGCTCTAGAGGCCAAAGTTAATATCTAATTGACTTTAAATTTATGCGCAGTGTTTAAGGTCATGATACGAAGAAGCTGATTGATTTTCAGCGATATCTGATAATTACTGCCAGAGTTATGGCCCTTGATCACTTCAAAAAATCTTGTGGATGCTTTAGAGGCTAAAGTTAATATCCGATTGACATTAAATTTATACACAGTGTTTAAGGTCATAAGATGATGAAGCCTATTGGTTTTCAGCGATTTCCAATATTTGTTGCCAGAATTATTGCCCTTGATCACTTTGAAAAATCTTGTGGACACTCTAGAGGCCAAAGTTAATATCCGATTGACTTTCAATTTATACACAGTTTTTAAGGTCATGAGACGAAGAAGCCTATTGATTTTCAACGATTTCCGATAATTACTGCCAAAGTTATGGCCCTTGATCACTTTGCAAAATCTTGTGACGCTCTAAAGGCTAAAGTTATCATCCGATTGACTTCAGATTGATACACAGAGTTTAAGATCTTGAGACAAACAAGTATATTGATTTTCAATGAATTTTTGTGACTTGGAACAGTTAAATCCATGATATTAAAAGCTTTGCATACAAAACGTTAGCATGGGACAGAACTTTATAAAAACCAAACAAATTCTAATAGTTTTCTGATAATTACTTTGTGAGTTGTTGCTTTTAATCAGATTTTAGTGTATTATAAATGTTTCATTACCGAAAAAAGTAAAAACATGCGACAACCCTTGTTGCCTGGCAACCTATCTTTATGACAGTTGTCAATTAGGATACAGGTTTCTATGACAGTTGTCTAATTGATTCTATAATATATCTAATACACCCTTCACACATACCCCATGACCTTGCTATGACAATATCTTCCTGATCCAGCCACGCTCATCGACGCTGGCCCTATGTTGCATCTGTGCTCTACCTGCTCTCAGTAAGGGTAGATCTAGTCACGTCCATGCTGCTCTCAGACACGATCTGATAGGTTGTAGCGAAGTCGTGGTCTATATTTGAAGGTTTCACTTTCTTTTTTTTCTGCTTTTTTTAACTTTCTTGGTGTTTCCTCTTTGTCTGTGATGCTGGAATTGATGGATAGCTCAGTACAAAGCCTAAACTTAATTTGAGTAAATTTATACTTATTTGTTTATACTAGAAACTTGTCAAAAGGAATTAGTCTTGATAGTTAGCATGTGATGTAAAACTTAGACAGAAATATATGGTGAAAGTTAATCCACCTGTTCTAAAACTACTTCAAGTGTTATTTAGAGATCAGGACAGTAGAGTAATTGGAGAAGGAGGTAGAATAACTCAAAGTAGACTGAGAAAATAAAATAGATTATGCTGGCTGATTTTGGCTGGCTTTCACACCTAATTTATTGAATAATGAAGCAGATAAAACATTTGGTTTACATATGCCATTTTATTATTGTGTTAGTTTGAATGAACTGAGGTCTATCTTCCACTAATGAATGGAACTGACCGTTTAACTGTGAGATAAACTTTTAGAGTATTGTATTTTTTCAATTATACACATAGGTGTCTGTAGTTCAACTGTTAAATATTGGAATAGACTCGTGTCTTTATATGGAAATATGTCTGCTTGGTACGGTGACAAAATTTCTTTTGACGAAACCTAAAGGATTTCAAATGTTCTAGAATTTCTCATTGACATAAATGGATAGTGTTAAAATAAAGTTCAATGCTAATGTTATTTTTAATTTAGATACCTAAATAAGTTTAATATTAGTTGGCAAAAATTCTTCCATTGAAAAAGTATTTTTCGATACATGGTGGATGGGGAACTTGATATAGGGTCCCTTACCACAATATACACAGGATATAATGTGATTGCTGGAAGATGACAATATAAAGTTGCAACTTACCATGATAAAATCTAAATAAGGGATAAATTGAACTTAAGTTTATGGATAACACCAGTTATCTTCAGGCCCATTGGAACAAAATTCTTACTACGGAGGCTCTCAGCATACTGAGGGAAAATTGGGTTCTGGGGCTTTGCCCCGGGGAAAATTTTTAAACTAAGGAAAGCATATTTGCAAATTATTGGAGGGGTCTGATCTCAAAATAATCTTTAAATTGATTGGGTTTTGTCTTTTTTTGGAATTTCCATTATTGAAAGGCTACACACATTAACTAGCTACCTGTACTACCATTTCAAGCTAGAACTATATTCAGGACATTTTTGGGGTGTTTAACCAAAATAGAATAAGCTTTAAAGACAATTTGGTATGAAAAAAAAAAATTGATATTATTTATATTTATACCAATTTGTATTGTGTATTTCAGCTAGAATGATGAGAGAATAAAAGCTCCAGGATTGATCTCCTTATGACCTGGGCATATGTACATTTGAGAATGGATTATGGGCTACCGTGTAGACAGTGTGTCTGTATATTATTATTACTGATAACAACTCTACTTGGCAGTGAATCACAGTCTTACTCTCAGTTTGAATGGGTAACAGGTAGGTTATCAAAGATCTCAAAGCTTTTAGATGAGGGGAAATAAAATAAACATAAGCAGTAGTTTTATTCTAGATTTAAACCATGTGGTATAATCAAGAGTTTGTTATTTTCCAATTGAGTTTGCTGATTTGCCCCCCCCCCCCACACACACACACACACCTCCCCAACAAATCCCACCACAAATTATAGCACTTGATGAACGTAAAAATAAAATCATTTGTGTTATTTAGATAATACTTTTATGTTTTTATTCATGATGCAGTAATGTATATTTCTGAAGCATAATATTATAATATTATTTGGCAAATTTTTAGTCCTGAATTATAAATCATGATTCCTCTTATACCTCTAAAAAATCTGATGATCTTTATAACAAATTGTATAAATATTTACTTCCAATCCACAAATTCTGCACCCACAGAAAAAAATTACTGCATTTCATACAAAAATGATCCAAATACACATTCAAATCCAGTCTGAAACAAGACCCAAAATTCACATAAGGTAACCTTTACGTCTTGAAATAAGAGATATGCAAAACTTTCAATATTTATATTGGATGGGCAATGAATATAAATACAGTTTTTGAAAGTTAAAGATCCTTTTGTTTGTAGTTTTAGAGTAGTAGCAATATTGCAATTTATAATCCTGTTGCAGAGATGTGAAATAGTGTCTTATAATTCGGAAAAGAATTATTATAAAGATTGCTGTTTTTACATTACAGTAGCAAAATCAATACCAGTGCAGATCTACCAATTCTTCATCTGTAACTATAGAAATTAGCTTGTTTTAGTCTCAAATTGTTCAATGTAGAGCTTAAAGGTTTAGGTCATATATAATCTGTTAAAATTACTGTCTCCATAACAATTTTTTTTAACGATTATTTGACAGTGGTATGACAGTCTGTTAGTTTCTTCAAGATGAGAGAGAGAGAGAAATGGGGTTTAACGTCCACTCGACATAAACTAGGTCATTTCGGGACTAACATATGGTTTAATTTTATTTCAATAATTCGCTTGCACGTAGGGGTCTTTAGCACTGGGAGGAAATCGGAGGACCCAGAGAAAACCCACGAGGTTGGACAGGCGACCCTACTCCTTGTCACATACAACCAGGGATTCGATACCACGCCAGTTGACTCAATGACAGGCTTTATGATACAGCACGCATTTGCTAACCATTCGGCCATCCAACCCCCCTTTCTTCAAGATGGATTTCAACCAAATTTAGTAGGTATTTTGACATTTTAACTGTAATTAGTAATATTTTGCATTAATGCACTACCGTATCCAATCTGAAAACAATTTTCTTCACATTAATCCAGTAGAGATAGATCTGTGGTGGTTTGATCAAGTACTAGTAAATGTGTTTTAAAAAATATTTGATTGGTATCATCAAAAATATGGTATCATCAAAAATAGAGATTATTTTAACATAGGTTTGTTAAAATTTTCTAAATTACCATCTTGACTGTGATTTAAATAGTGAAATATTTCTGTTTCTCTTCTGTTATATATGTTGCTTTACAGTTTATTACAGAGATTTTTGTTACATACAAGCTTAACAAAGTTGTTATATATTTTAAGGACGGAAATAGATATGATCTGACATTTAATGTAATATGATGTATATTATAAATGTTGATTATAGAGACATTTTATGTAATCTTAATGGTAATAATAGATTATTATAAGCCAAAACTGAAATTTCAAAATAAATTGCTATTCAGTAATTAATTTTATTGTATATTCAGACCAATCCTAATCTGTATGCTGTCCCTCTAAAATGTTGCATCAAGTGGTATGTTAATTTAGATTGAGAATTGAAAAGATTGTATACCATCAATTTGTGTATAGATTTTAGAATCTGACCTTAATCATGGTCTAACCATGGACCTTATAATACCGTATTTTAGAATCTGACCTTAATCATGGTCTAACCATGGACCTTATAATACCGTATTATAAGGTCCATGGTTAGACTAAGAGATCAAGTAAGCCATTGTTCAAAAATAAAATTGTTGAACATATTCTGTATGTCCCCCTCTTTGAGTTCTGTAAAGAATTATTACAAAATAAAGAGCATTTTCTCTGAAAGTATATTAGCTTATTGTGGCCTACAATGAGGATTAAATACTTCAGACTGATGCTGACAATATCATACTCTTAGCAGTGTTTCATTTAATTTATCCAACTATACACTGCTCCACCAATCCAGTGTACTTGTGTTTAATTGGCTTCAAACTGGTTCAGGAATTGCTTCCAGTTCAAACTGGTAATCAGTAAATTTGAATATAATTTCTAGTATGTTCTCACTATAGTTCTCAGTCAACTTTCAATAATTGTTCCCCTGCTTTTGGAGACAGCACAGGGCTATTAAAATGGATTCTTTCATCTGTCTATCCATTTGTCTGTCCTTTCAAGCTTTTGGGAAGGTAGAATCTTCAAACTTGATGACGATGTAGATGTTCTTTGGATGAGTGTCTTGACGGGATACAGATATCACAGTCTTGTTTGACACATTGTTGAAATAAATAAAGGACTTACATTCCACTTTCCAACCTCGTGGGTTTTCTCCGGGTCCTCCGGTTTCCTCCCACTGCTAAAGACCCCTACGCGCAAGCGAATTCTGTAAATAAAATTAAACCATATGTTAGTCCCGAAATGACCTAGTTTTTGTCGAGTGGACGTTAAACCCCATTTCTCTCTCTCTCTACATTCCACTTGTTTGTGGATCCCTGGGTGGGTTGATAGGTATCGCTCTTGTAAGTGGATCTTTTCGATAGAAGTTCCTTCTGAATGATGTCATTGACTTTTATTATCCGAACTGCATAATATATGCCATTTCTCTTTAATGAACTTAATATCTTGAAAAGCAGAGGGGTTTATGATCCCTTGTAAAACCGATCGACTTTCATTTTTATGAGATGACTGTATTGGTTGAAATGGATTAACAGTTTCCGCTCTGGTTTGAGCGTACATACTTTTATAAGTTGTTGGACCAGCATAAATTTTCGTTCTAAATGTTTTAGGAACATACTGTAATTAAGTTGTTAAATACTGATTTTATAATTTAACAACAATACATAATAACAATTTAACCATGCATCCTGCTAACTGAACTACATACAATTTTCACTGTTCACACATTGTAAATTATATTGCAGTAAATAAATCAGTACACCAGCACAATTATCGTAAATAAGATTACACTGAAATAATGATTTCTCTGTTTTTTTTAATTATATGAATTTATGTGTTAAGTTCTACTCAGTTTTGATGATGATCTCACGTTTATACAATTTTCCCTCACTCAAGTAAAAGACTTAATTACCAAAGAAGTATTATATATATATATATATTACAAGTGCTCATAAAACTGCATATCTCCATTTCTCTATAGAAATTCTAAGTTTTTAACTTTGTTGTAAAATTGAGATATTTTACTAGTATTGCCACAATCTATTATTTTAAAAAAACCAAGTCGACTAGGTAAAATATTATTGAACAATATTTAATATGGGGTCCCAAGAAGGTTTTCTCTGGTTTATATTGTCAGTGGCACCATTGCATTTTGTATAACATGAAAAAACATATACTAACAACATAGACAATGGGTCAATTCAAGTCCCGGGTTATGCTTGTGTTAAGGTTGTGTTGTAGTGGTGTATAACTGGTGTTCTTTTTAGTGTCTTAACCTGAGCCTCTCGATTTAGCACTATTGTTTACACTAGTTTAATACCACTGGTGGAAAATAAAAAAAAAAAACTATAACACTAGTGTTATTTTTAAATGTTACACTTTGTTTCTGTCTTCTGTTCTAACGCATTCAATTCTTTGCATGAGCTGGCAACTAAAAAAAAAAACACCAAAAGAAAGGTAATTGGGGAAAACTAACCGCTTCCAGGAAGTTAAGTAACTAGGATCTATGTTGAATTTTTGTAGTCTCATTTGATCATTATTCAGTCGAAATTTCCTAAACTTTCTTGTAAATTAGCAGGTCTGTGATCATCATTTATTTGTCTTACGTTTTGGCCATATATGGAAAAAAAAAAACCATTTTAAGCCTTAAAACTAAATCTAAAAACCTTAAAAGAAATTCCTTCTTGCTTTCTGCTGTTTTACACCAGTGTTGTAATAAATAACTTGAACTGATATTTTTTTTAACCCCTAGGGGTTAGTGTTAGAGTTATTTTTAACAAGATAATAACTTTTATCAAGTTATTATTATCTAATAAGTTTTTATGTAATTAGATATAATATTGCACAAAGCTTCTTGTCTTTATATTTTTTTTCATGTAAAGCGTCTGCTGTTTTACACCAGTGTTGTAATAAATAACTTGAACTGATATTTTTTTTAACCCCTACGGGTTAGTGTTAGAGTTATTTTTAACAAGATAATAACTTTTATCAAGTTATTAATATCTAAAAAGTTTTTATGTAATTAGATATAATATTGCACAAAGCTCCTTGTCTTTATATTTTTTTCATGTAAATTTGTTTCTTATATTGGGAAATTGATTTTGAAAATATAGTCAAACTGAGGAGCTCAGGTATAAGTTAGTGTTTAAGTAACACAGATACGACACTGGTGTTCATGTTGTGTAAATATATCCATAGTTAACACAACCTCAACACCGCAGACCTTAACTTGGACTGATTTCAAATACAGAGGGGGTCTGAGGTTGAGTTAGCACAGCGTTACACCAGTGCTACACTGATCTAACTGGTGTTAGACACTACACCACCTTAACCCAGGACTTGAATTGACCCGACTGAATATTGACAAATAAAAATTAGATTTGTAACTTTAATATGCTTTCTGCTGTGAATTGGTTATTGATAGAATGGAGACTAGTTGTATAATGGCTGGAATTGATTGTGTTGACTTACAATACACCAGTAGGAAAAATGTAATTTGTACATCTGTTTATTTATAATATATATATATTTATTTATCTGAATGAAAACAAACGCAAGAACTTTAAAAAATTTTGTTG